TTTTGATGATTGTGTGTGTGTGTGTTTTAAGTCCAGGAAATATATCAATGAATATGAATTCAGGTCTCAATGAATATGAATTCAGATCTCATCCACATACTTATTTATATCAGCATAGAACATATTAACACGATATACGTATGCTTCAGTTACTCATTGCTGTGTAACAGGCACCATCAAATGTAATAGCTTAAAACAACAATGATTTATTATTTCTCACAACTGTGTGATCTGGGCTGCTCTTCTATAGTCAGCTGGCCGGTCCTCATCTGAGGCTGGGAGGTCTAAGGTGATGTCACTCACATGTCTGGGAACTCAGCTGGGATGGCTGGGAGGCCTCCTTACCTGAAGGCAGAATTGAGAGGAAGTAGCAAAGCCTTAAGAGACCTCTTGGAAGTCACACAGCACCACCCCCACCATATTCTCTTGGCCAAAGCAAGTCACCAGGATAGCCCCGATTCAAAGAGCCGACAATAGATCCCACAGGAGAAACGGCAAAGAGTCTGTGGCCATTTTTTAAGCTGCCACAGCATACGTTTAGTCATGTAGGTGCTCGTTAGATTTCATTTTCTGGTTGTAGAAAGTGGAGGGCTGCAGATATGTGACCCTTTCCCAAGGGGAATGTCCTTCTGGCCCTGGGGCTCCCATCCTCAGGTGTCCTTCAAGCAACCTGGTGGTTCAGCTCCTTTCCCTACCTTTCTGGGTCTCTCTTCCCTTGCCCATCAGCAGTTCGCCTGGGAGCAGACTTGCTCGAGGAGCCTCGGAGAACCACCTCAGCTTTAAGCATCATTTAGCCAACCTTTCTTTTTTAACTCGCCTCCTTCAGGTATGTTGTGACTACTTAGTTAAACTCAGTGCTCTCTCATCACCCGAAGGGAATGCCACAAGACCTGCCTAATGAAACCAAGTCAATTCCAAAACAAGCCCACAATAAAACCTTTCAAAGGTGTTGCATGGAAATTCTCCTCTATAGTGGTTGATTCAGTAATGGTTGTCAGAGGGAAATGGACCCACCAGATGAGTAGAGGGTAGACCCAGCCTGGGCTGTACACCTGGGCATCCCATGTTCTCCTGTGCCAGCCAGCCCTGCCCTCAGCCCCAGGGGGGCTATTTCTCCAGAGAGCTCCTAGGACACAGTTTTTGTCTCTATACTCCTCACTCTTTGCTATCTCCAGTGTGTGTGTGTGTGCCCGATTTTACAGAATCTTCCCTTGACCCCTGTAACTTTTCACCAGTCTTTTTAGATACAGGCTTCCAGGGTAGACATTAACTAGTTAAACATCTAGACAGTGTTACCTCTCTACATTATTCACTTTCACTGTAACTCAAATGAGGTTTTCAGTACCCTGTGCATTTTGATTTGTTACATAACTATTTTTATATTTTTATTAAGATGAATGAGGGTCATATGTTACTGACAGTCACCCTTTCTAAATTTATTTTAATGAGATTTGTCCCAAACTTTTTGTTCTGAAATGTTCTGTTATCAATTTCTGTCTATAAATAGGCATTTCCTAAAAGTTATGGAGAAAAATCCAGTCGGATTGTTTTGTGGTGGAAATAAGTCATTGTTTATAGTGTTCAAACTTAAAATAGGGTTTCTCCTGCTCGAGCCCAGCACAGCGAGCCCAGCTCCCTGGCTCCGGCCTCTCCGACTAAAATGTCCCGTTCTCTTTCAGAACCTGTACCCGGAACAGTTATATCTCTCGCTTTCTGAGACACACACACTCTTCCCCCTCCACCAGGGGGCAGGTTGTATTTTACTTTTAAATCAAGATATAGAAACATGTTAAACTTTTTCTTAGTCCAGCCCTAGCCGGTTTGGCTCAGTGGCTAGAGCGTCAAACTGATCTTTCTCTCCCTCTCCCTCTCTGAAATCAATAAAAGTATGTTAAAAAATGAAAGAATTAGTCCAAAAGAATTAAAGATTTTCTATGATATGTTAGATAAATGTTGACTGCTATGTGACTTTGCAATGGAAATGTAGTCGAGCCTGATTTTTGTAAGGATGTATTATGCCTTCCATAGACTACAAAAGGAATGTGTGGACTTTCTCCCACCTTATCTTAAAAAATAATCCTCTCCCTCCTTCATTTCCATCCGAATGGAGTTGCCATTCCCAGTGAGACTATGTCACCTGTTCAGGTCGTTTGCTGCCCTGTTTCTGGGTGAGTCCTCGCTCAATTTGTTAATTTTCTTTAGAGTTGTCTCTTTTCAGTTCAGTCATTCACTCAGTTATTCGTTTATTCATGAATTGAGCCCTCACACGTGACAGACACTGACTCTAGATGTGCCTTTCACACGTGGGTATCCCCTTCTGTGTCTGCTCCTGACCACTCTGGTTTTCCCACCTCCCTCTGCCCTTTCTAAGCACAGGTTATGCCTTCGTTCCTTGCTGCATCTCTTCTTTTTCATAATGGCCCATCATCCTGTGTTTCCCTCTTTTTCGGTGTTTCACCCTGTGTAGACATCATTCTTATGTGATATAATTAGCTTTTAACCATTTTTAGTTCTTCCCTCCCTCGGCTTGGTCTAGGTTTCCAGGCCCCCTGCCAATTCTTTCCATCTTTTTCTCTTCTCTTGGCCCTGGACTGTGATGGGAGCTCTATGGCAGCTCATCACACCTTTCAGAAGGTAGTGGAAGGGAGTGAGTGCGCTGGGCCGTACATTGGGCCTAAGCACTGCATGATAAGAAGGAGAAATGGGACTGTCCATGTGGCTCATGGCACTTGAATGTCTTTGGAAGGCCTTTTGTATGTGTGTGTGCAAGCACCTCCAAGCAAAAGGAAGCTTACAGCCAGACAGTTAGGGTAGTCACTTGGATCCCAATGACGTCTTTGCAGAGAAGGAAAAACAAAAAATTCTGTAAGTAGCACGTAGGGTAGCAGTACCAAAGACAGCTTAACTGTGTACTGTGCCTTGCTGTTTACAAAGCATTCACTTTGGTTATTCTCATTTTATTGTCATCTGGCTCCATGAGGAACTTACGGACATGAAAACGGGTTGAGAAATACGTGACTTGTGCAAAATCATAAGTGTTCTCTGGTACAAGGGACAGAGCAGGTCCAAGTCTTGAGCCCACGTTCTTTGATTCAAAGGCCTGTGCTCTCACTGCAGTTTTTTTGATGATTGTGTGTATGTGTGTTTTAAGTCCAGGAAATATATCAATGAATATGAATTCAGGTCTCAATGAATATGAATTCAGATCTCATCCACATACTTATTTATATCAGCATAGAACATATTAACACGATATACGTATGCTTCAGTTACTCATTGCTGTGTAACAGGCACCATCAAATGTAATAGCTTAAAACAACAATGATTTATTATTTCTCACAACTGTGTCAACTGGGCTGCTCTTCTATAGTCAGCTGGCCGGTCCTCATCTGAGGCTGGGAGGTCTAAGGTGATGTCACTCACATGTCTGGGAACTCAGCTGGGATGGCTGGGAGGCCTCCTTACCTGAAGGCAGAATTGAGAGGAAGTAGCAAAGCCTTAAGAGACCTCTTGGAAGTCACACAGCACCACCCCCACCATATTCTCTTGGCCAAAGCAAGTCACCAGGATAGCCCCGATTCAAAGAGCCGACAATAGATCCCACAGGAGAAACGGCAAAGAGTCTGTGGCCATTTTTTAAGCTGCCACAGCATACGTTTAGTCATGTAGGTGCTCGTTAGATTTCATTTTCTGGTTGTAGAAAGTGGAGGGCTGCAGATATGTGACCCTTTCCCAAGGGGAATGTCCTTCTGGCCCTGGGGCTCCCATCCTCAGGTGTCCTTCAAGCAACCTGGTGGTTCAGCTCCTTTCCCTACCTTTCTGGGTCTCTCTTCCCTTGCCCATCAGCAGTTCGCCTGGGAGCAGACTTGCTCGAGGAGCCTCGGAGAACCACCTCAGCTTTAAGCATCATTTAGCCAACCTTTCTTTTTTAACTCGCCTCCTTCAGGTATGTTGTGACTACTTAGTTAAACTCAGTGCTCTCTCATCACCCGAAGGGAATGCCACAAGACCTGCCTAATGAAACCAAGTCAATTCCAAAACAAGCCCACAATAAAACCTTTCAAAGGTGTTGCATGGAAATTCTCCTCTATAGTGGTTGATTCAGTAATGGTTGTCAGAGGGAAATGGACCCACCAGATGAGTAGAGGGTAGACCCAGCCTGGGCTGTACACCTGGGCATCCCATGTTCTCCTGTGCCAGCCAGCCCTGCCCTCAGCCCCAGGGGGGCTATTTCTCCAGAGAGCTCCTAGGACACAGTTTTTGTCTCTATACTCCTCACTCTTTGCTATCTCCAGTGTGTGTGTGTGTGCCCGATTTTACAGAATCTTCCCTTGACCCCTGTAACTTTTCACCAGTCTTTTTAGATACAGGCTTCCAGGGTAGACATTAACTAGTTAAACATCTAGACAGTGTTACCTCTCTACATTATTCACTTTCACTGTAACTCAAATGAGGTTTTCAGTACCCTGTGCATTTTGATTTGTTACATAACTATTTTTATATTTTTATTAAGATGAATGAGGGTCATATGTTACTGACAGTCACCCTTTCTAAATTTATTTTAATGAGATTTGTCCCAAACTTTTTGTTCTGAAATGTTCTGTTATCAATTTCTGTCTATAAATAGGCATTTCCTAAAAGTTATGGAGAAAAATCCAGTCGGATTGTTTTGTGGTGGAAATAAGTCATTGTTTATAGTGTTCAAACTTAAAATAGGGTTTCTCCTGCTCGAGCCCAGCACAGCGAGCCCAGCTCCCTGGCTCCGGCCTCTCCGACTAAAATGTCCCGTTCTCTTTCAGAACCTGTACCCGGACAGTTATATCTCGCTTTCTGACACACACACACTCTTCCCCCTCCACCAGGGGGCAGGTTGTATGGCTCTCCCATTTCAGAGATGGATCCTCACCCAATGAAGGGCCCTGCCCAGTGAGTGGCAGAGCCAGGCTGTGCTGTTAGTACAAGCCCCACCAGGCAGCCCTGTCCTGTCAGCCTGAGCCCCTCCCCAGCCCCACTCAGAAGGCTTAATAGTCCATGTCCTATACTTTGCTTTGTTGTCCTCTGTGAGCGAAGTACATATGAACAAACTGTCCAGCGGCTAAAGAATCGTCCATGCATCATGTGTCACCGTGCAGAGAGCACCTGGCTGAAGTTGAGCGCCAGAATCCAGGCCCCTTTCTGCATGAACTTGGACACACCTCTCACTTCCTCTGGGTCTGCTTTCTTATCTGTGAAAGAGGGAGGAGAGGAGGGATTTGATGACCACAAAAGTAACTTCAACCTTGACATTCTTTGACTTTCCTAAACCCTTTAGAGGGGAGGAACCCACGCCGCTGGCAACAGGAGACTCCTGGGAAAGGAAGGAGAAGGAAAGTTTTAGAAAATCCCCGTGTCCCACAGATAATGGGGAAATACATGATTTGCATAGTGAGAGGAAGGGGAACAAGTCCAAATGAAGTCATGAAAGAATGGTGGTTACTTTTTTTTCCTCATTTTTTCACTAGGAAACCTTAGAAATGGCAAAATGAAATAAACGATTAGACTAACGATTTAAACCACAGTCATCAGCGCTGGTTGAATTGTAGAGCTGGGTGATAATCCAATAAAGTAGATTGCCTGTTATGTTTTTAAAATATACCTATGAATAGATAGTTCCTTATATAGCAGATGCAGAGGCGATCTGACCAAAGGCTGAATTCATGGTATAAGGCTTTACTCTTAGAAACTGCTTTCCAATAGATCGTGGTTTCTACGAGCTGTACTTTCCCTGAGGTTCTGTCTTTGTCTCTCTTCCCTGTAACTCCTGTTTATTTAGCTCTTCCATATTCTTATTGGAGTGTTCTGTATTTCACACTTACACACAAACACATAGACACACAGAGCATTGCCTTCGGGGAGGAGTTTTAGATTCTTTGTTCCTAACTTTGATTGGACCATCACTTCCTTTTTCTCTTAAAACAAAAAGCAGTCTGCCGAATTAAGTTCCATGTTTTTGTTTAAGCCTCAGTTTTGTTTCTCTCTTACAAGACATTCACCTTAGAAGACAATTTCCAACTCACACCCTGTCATTTTTCATAATAGCTCCAAACTCTGTAGGTCCAGGAAGTGAACTAAGATAAAAGGAAGGATGCCAACCCCATTGTAGCTGAGATATGTCAGATATACAGGCCACAACCAGAGCAGCGGGGAGGAACTCACCTTCTCCGTAACATGCACAAGTTCATACTGCTACTTCACGTGGAAGATCGAGGATGCTTCGTTCCCATTCCTCGGTCCTGGTTTCTTGGTGCGATACTGTGTTTTGGTGACGGAATCTTAGCAGATTGCTAGCACACTGCTTCCTGTGAAGGATACAGATATTTCGGAAAGGAGCTTCCAGAATTCACAGCCTGAAGTTGACTCATACCGGATGAAGCCAGCGGAATGGAATCTTTGGCAGATCGTCTCTTCCCTTCAGAAGCACTTGAGTTGAATCGGAATGACTCTAACCCCAAAGCTACAGTGAGTGAAAACAGGGCGCAGATTGGAAAGTGCTCAGGGGGGACCTCATGGAAGACAGAGAACACAGGGCTTGGTGTGGGGAACGGCGACGAATAAGAGGGCCCAAGCTGGAAGGAACTCGACAGCTTAGCAGATATCACCTCGGCCAGTTCAAAACAGCTTCAGGCCTTTGGAAAGTGATAAGAGAACGCACACCAACTGAGTAGTCTGCCCTCAAGAAAATGAATGGATGGCATTGTACCAAATAAGAAAACCTGAATTTAAGAAAAAGCCATAAAGTAATAATGCCAGCTCTACGTCCAAAGTAAGAAACCAAGGACCTAAAAAAGAAAAAAAAAGCACACAGGGAATAACTAGTGATAATTTTTCATATCCCTCCCTATTTGCCTGCATTTTTAAATCTTAGGATGACACAGTTCCCATCTTACTGAGAACTCGGTGGATTTTCTTATTCCTCTGCTCCAGTAACGTCTGAGTCGTCCCTTGCTTCTGAGTAATAGTGGTGGAGGGACGGTGTCAAGAGTGCTTTCACTTTGTTTGCTAACCTACTTCCACTTGGGTGGTTGAGCTTCCCAGAGCTGCTCAGTCGGCTCTTATCTCCAGAGCCTCGGCCATCATCCTGCTGTTTAAATCTCTACGAGGGTGTTGGGGGCACGGGGTTGAGGATTGCACAGTCGGGAACACGGGCACATTAGCCCAACCAGGCACATACATCAGAGCCGGATCCGGAGGGTGGCTTGGAATTGACAGATTTTTTTAATCATAGCACTGGGAGCACGCCCTAGTTCTTTGAGATGGTATTAAGCTCTTTAGATCACTAGGTAATATGTACTGTAGGCCCATATGCTTTTAATATCGTGTTAGGTGATTAAATTGCTTGTATAATACCTACTTAAATAGCCAGTGGAAACTGGCCCTAGAGATGCATTTTCACAAGGACATTATCAAACCTTATAATTAATTATCATGTTCATCTATTCCCAGGACTTTGTCTCAAAGAAGATGGCACTTAATAATAGCTTTTGTTTCCTGTGTTTAAAGGTCAGTCTATTGGTAGGCAAATTTCTCTCATTCACTTCACTTTTTTGGTGGTTTCCTTTCATTTGGATAATTTATCCAGCTGCTTTTAAGGGGAAACGTAAAATTATACAATATGTAAAATATGCATTAGCATAGCACAGATCTAAACCATTTCTCTGACTCCTGACATGCTATCATGGTAGCGTTCTCTCAGTTTTTAAACACATGCGGGGGGAAAAGTTTGGAAATGTATTCGAAGCCCTTCTTTCTCAACTAAGAAAAGAACATCTATTCTGTTGCCCTCTGTCACAGTAATTTTTGGCCCAAAAGAGCAAGTCATCTCATAACTAAAAAAAGCCAGAGTCTATATTAAACTCTGATGTTTTTAAAACAAAATAGTTGTAGGAATTCCATGTTGTTATTGGACGTGTCCCCAGATGGAGGAAGCTGTGCTTTCCTAGAAGTAGAGCCCTTGCCCGCTGGAGATGAACTATCTCCCGTGCAGAGACGTTAATCTGTCAGTAATTTGCTTCATATGTGGAAGCCCTGCGCTTCCTTCCCACACGCCTTAGACCCGTGTTTCACCGTGAGGTTGACCAGTGTATAGTGTATAGTTTTATTTATATGGGTTTCAGTCCTGAAACAAAGCTCAAGGCTCTCCCTCTGGCTTCGTTGGCTTACAGTTTGGTCTGAATGGGCCTGGCCGTCACCAGAGTCTAAATACATGCCCTCTGACTGTCACTGAAAGACTCAACTGTGAATTCCATTACACTTGCGGGAAACTTGGAAAGCAGACTCCACCGCATGGATCGTGCGAACCCTGCCCAGCCCCATTGATGTTATCATCCTCATGGCACAGGCCACCAGAACCACGGTGCCACACAGCTCTGCAAAAGTGTATTGGGAAGTTGTTTACATCACAAATAAGCAAACCTAAAATGTTAAAAATCCTCCTTCTTCTGGAAATGCCAACCGCACCCCCAAATTCCATAGCATGTGTTCCAGTCTTCATTTGCACCTTTACGTTGGGTGGGAGTGACCGGGCTCCTCCTCGCTGTGTAGGCACAGTTTGCAGAGGGCTTGGGGTTCTGTTCGCCCAGTAGATATGTAACCGCTTAACTGGGACCCTGAGGGTCAAGACAGCTAGTTTCTCTTGGACATGCTCTGTCAGTCCAGTGTAGCATACAGACGGCCGCCTTTTAAATGCTCTCTCCCTGGCTTTGCCCTTGTTTGGAAAGGAAGGAAGTTGTATCTCATGGCTCCTGTGATGACGTGATCAAGTGCTTTGATTTCCATAGCGAGACCAGGGTTTCTTGAAGAATCTTCTGACACTTCCTAAGACATTAGATTGTGTAGTTTTTGATGGCAAGGATGCACCTTATATAGTGCCTAACACAGGTAAATAATATATGCTTTTAGTTACATTTATAGACAGTTCATCTGTGGCAAGTCCCACCATCAGTGGTTTTGGTGTGTTCAGGGAACAAATTTTTGAGTATTTATCTTGTGCCAGGCATTGTACTACCTGTTGGGACTAAGATGTCGTCACCAGTACGAAGGAGCTTGCAGTCTAAAGGGAAGGCGAACATGTATAAATCACTAGTGTTTAAACTGCTACATGCTTGAGAAGTAGAAGTGTGCAAAAGGAAAAGTAAGCTCACAGAGCAGAGAGAGATTAATTCCCATTCGGAAAACTGTCAGTTTTGACTTTTGAGCTGAATCTTTAAGCATGAGTCAGAGTTCGGCAGATGGAGAAAGAGGAAAGGGCATTCTAGGCTATTGGCGTCATTGCTTTTTAAACTTTTAATATGTTTTGCGACTTAAAACATTCTAATCCCACCTATCTTTATGATTCAAGAAGAATAAAATTCATGACAATTGTTTTCTCCTCAGATGACCTCCTCTTTGCAAGACTGCGTCCCTTGTTTAAGATGTTTTCCATTAAAGATGCTTCTCTGTGTGATACGCAGGCTCCCTTAGCCATCCCTGGCCAACCTCTCTAGCCACGTTCCCTGCAAGCCTCCTACAAGGTCCCCCAGTCCCCTTCCCAACATAATATGCTCCTGGTGGGCTGAACTGTTTGCTCCAATCTAGACACACTGCAGTCTTTCTTGTTTCTGTACATTTGACTAGGTTTTCCCCTCTTCCCAGAATGTCCTCCTCTCCACCCCCACGCCTCCCCACTTGATGGACACTTCGCAGTCTGTGCCCTTCACACTGCCGGGCATGGGTCCACACAGCATCAGCTGTTTACCTTTGGGCCTCTGGTCAGAAAAAAGCATCCTGAAGAAGTGGTCCTTGGGGGCGAGTGGAGGTTTGCCATTGACATGAGGAACTTCAGTGTTGAGGACATAGGACAGCTACTGCTGCGCGTGTGCTTCTCCCCGGCAGCCCTCGGCAGCACAGAGGAGGAGGTCATTGGTTTGAATCGCAATTTGCAATTGGCAGCCTTGGGACTGAATTTGACCCCCCCGCCACACACACACACGTTTTCCTTTTGCCTATTTTTTAGGATGGGGGGGTGGGGAGGCATCTTTAGATTACTCATCAACACTGAAAAACTGGAGGCTTCATGTGAAAATCTGGCTTCTCTGGAGCGTTTGGAAGGTATAGCAACACCGCCCAACTAATTTCTATGCGGAAGGAGTAGTGATGCCCCCTCGGAGCAGGGACCCTCTTGAGTTGTCTGGAGTAGCTCTGCCCTCCAGGACTCCTGCCCAGCTCCTGCAGACTTCAGGTTTGCCATCTCCGGGCTTCACTAACTTAGGGTTGGGGGTCAAGGGACCAGATGCAAACGCAGGTTAAAGGGGCAGGACGTTTAAAGGCATCATGAGGACGGTGGTTCAGGTAAGCCCCAGGGGTTTGGGGCTGTCTCATTAAGGAGGTACACTCCGGGCGAGCCCCAGACTGAGGAGAAAGGGAAGGATCTGGGGAGGAGAGGTGCCGGTGCCGTGAGGGTGATGAGTCGTGCGGGGAGCACACGGATGAGAGAACTGGGTGAGCCATGTGATCAGCGAGCAGGATGTTTCACTTGAGAGAGTTCAGAGTGTTGTGGCCATCGGGGTGAGCGGCTGAAGGGGAGCGGGAGCCAGAGTCACTGGATTCCAAAAATCGGGTGAGGTCAGGGTGATGAAAATGCCTTTCCCACATAGACATGAAGCCGTCCAGCTTATAATTACATGAAATAGCTAGCAGGCGTTGAGTGCTTCTGTGTCCGAGGTGCTTTGCACGTATCCGTTTATTTCATCTACATAGCAGTCCTATGGCATATTTTAATGATCTTGGCTTTTACATATGGTACAATTGAGGCTTAGGGAGAGGATGTGACTTGCCCGAGGCCATATGGCTCCTAAGTGGCCAGAGCTCAAGTCTAAGGCTGATGTGAGAGTGCTATCTCTGGACTCTCCCTCCCCCCCATAGGCAATGGGTAGGAGACAACACCTCCTCCGAGGGAGGGCTTGGCTGAGAGGAGAGCAACCAGGTGGGGCTGCTAGCCAGAGGCCAGCCTGGAGAATGTCCACCTCCCGTCAGCCCAGGTGAACAAGTAAGGGGGAGGGGGGCAGTTTGCGGTCTCCCTGGAGGAGCTGCAAGGAAACAGCGTTTTCAGGCGAGAACCAGGTGATAAGTAGGAGAGGGTTGAGTGGTGCCCTGTGTGGTGGTGTTCAGGTGTTGAGAGGTGGTCCCCACAGGAAAGGTGGGGAAGGTGGGGAAGGCAGAGAAGGCGGCGTGGAAGGGCGAGTCCCGGGAGCAGAGCAGGACTCTGGGGATGCACCTTCCCTCCGGGACAGGAGGCCAGAGCGTCCTCACTCTGCACTGATGACCGGAATCAGAGGCCTGGGGCTTGACAGCCCCACACACCCAAGTGGACACGGGCTTAAAGGCAGCTGTTCCAGCCCTGCTCGGCCCAGCAGGCTCTGGAGGAGCGTTAGCAGCCCAGGCAGCAACGCTTGGCTCAGGTTTTCAAATAGACGGGTTGTCCTGACGTCATGGTGGTGGTCTTCACCGGCCCCGGGAAGGGGATGGGATAGTCCACATCCCACTGTTCCCCCGTTGTGATTATGTGTTCAACGCCTCCCTGAAGGGAAGGCAGGGCCTGTGTGCCCCCGGCCGCCATGCAGCTTAGTGCCCTCCTGCATGTCCGCACTCAGCCAATGGGTGCAAGATAATCACCTGCTCACAAGCTAGCCAACCCCACATCCCAAAGCATGCATTTCTCATTTCTCGTGCAGTCGGCAATCCTGGCTCCGAAGAGAGAATGCCTTATGTTCCTCTATTAAAACTTACTCTCCACATCCAAACCCGAATCCTGGCTCCGAAGAGAGAATGCCTTATGTTCCTCTCTTAAAACTTACTCTCCACATCCAAACCCGCTCCTCCTTCCCGGAGCACACTGTGTCCCTTCTTTTTCTGACTGGTTTTCCTGCGTCTCTCCCCTGCCCCCTCTCCACCCTCCGAGGCCACCTGGCCCACCACAGCCTAAGGAAGGATGTACTACTAGGATTCCACACGGTGTATTAATGAAATAACTATCAGGAACGGAAAGTACACTGACACATAGAACATTCCTATTCTGTAAAAAGTAGCTCCAACTTTACTTAAATCTGATGTACTCTCTCTCTACTAATTACATTTATTAACTCTTTCAGGAATGTATACGTTTTAAAAAAGAGGCTGCAAAGAAAACATCCAAAAAGAATGGGTTTCCCACCCGAGGGTCCAACTACCATATGGAAAATTGTATTCCTCTCCACGGAGGTTTCTTAGGGTTATACTTTTTCTCATGTCTCCCCAGGAGAGATTTACTACTAAGTCACAAACCTCCTCCCCCTTTGCTCAAGCTAATTCCTAGATGATCTCTCATTTCGCCCACTCAGGCAGAAATTTCCTTTCAGTCAACAGCAAAACCACTCTGCATTTTTGGGTGTTGTTATATTTTTTTTCCTGGGAAGCAGGGGAGGGGGCTGCAATTGGAGGATGTGCTCCACTACAGGGGAGGTATAAATTGAGGCTATTAAAGGGTGTCCCAACATTCACGCAAAAAGTAATTTTGATAGAAAACACAGGTTTATAATGAAAAATTTTAAATTTTTTATTGATTCATAAAGTATACAATATAAGGTTATGTATGGAATAGCATATCGGGTAAATGGCCTCCACGGCTTTGCTGGCACATACGCACTCTTTTGTTATTGCCTGAGCAGCCGCATTTTCGAAGAAGAATGGTCCGATGATGCGTCCAGCCCAAAATCCGCACCAAACAGTGACACGTTGTGGACGCATTTGTTTCTCAACAATCACTCATGGATTTTCTGAACCCCAAATGCGACAATTTTGTCGATTAATCAAGATGAAAATGAGCCTCATCAAAATTCAGCCACATTTATGCAAAACAGTCATGGAAAATTTCAACAAAAGAGTGCGTATGTGCCAGCAAAGCCGTGGAGGCCATTTACCCGATATGCTATTCCATACATAACCTTATATTGTATACTTTATGAATCAATAAAAAATTTAAAATTTTTCATTATAAACCTGTGTTTTCTATCAAAATTACTTTTTGCGTGAATGTTGGGACACCCTTTAATAGCCTCAATTTATACCTCCCCTGTAGTGGAGCACATCCTCCAATTGCAGCCCCCTCCCCTGCTTCCCAGGAAAAAAAATATAACAACACCCAAAAATGCAGAGTGGTTTTGCTGTTGACTGAAAGGAAATTTCTGCCTGAGTGGGCGAAATGAGAGATCATCTAGGAATTAGCTTGAGCAAAGGGGGAGGAGGTTTGTGACTTAGTAGTAAATCTCTCCTGGGGAGACATGAGAAAAAGTATAACCCTAAGAAACCTCCGTGGAGAGGAATACAATTTTCCATATGGTAGTTGGACCCTCGGGTGGGAAACCCATTCTTTTTGGATGTTTTCTTTGCAGCCTCTTTTTTAAAACGTATACATTCCTGAAAGAGTTAATAAATGTAATTAGTAGAGAGAGAGTACATCAGATTTAAGTAAAGTTGGAGCTACTTTTTACAGAATAGGAATGTTCTATGTGTCAGTGTACTTTCCGTTCCTGATAGTTATTTCATTAATACACCGTGTGGAATCCTAGTAGTACAAGTACTTTGCCCTTTTAATTCTATGTTTATCCTTGTTTCCTGACGAGAAGGAGCCCTAACCTCCCACATATGAAGAGTGGTTTTGATTTATGGGCACTGGTTCTCCCCTTTGGAAGGGCTCAGGCACTCAGTTCAGACATGGGATGAAGCCAGTGTTGGGAGGCATCGTTTACAGAGGACCTCACAGGGTCATTTTTTTCTCCAGATATGGGCAGGGATTTGGATGTGCTTGGGGAACATGAGGAGTCTGATGGTTTGCTGCTTCCAGATTTCCTCCTCTACCCAAGGAGTTAACTGTAGGGGATGTTAGAATAACATTTTACTATCAGCTCTGCATGGCGCCCCCCACGAGGGCACATTCCAGGGCGCCCCTGTGCTTTGCTGAATGGCATGGGAGTAGCAAAGAGGACTCCTCTGCCCCACGGCGCCTTCTGGCAGTTCCCTATAGTTTAGTATCCTCCACGGTTTCTCTCGTCCTTCTGGCAAAACAAACTATTGATTCTTCTACTTAGTAATGAAGCCCTAACTTGGTTAGGTAAGACAGCCTAGCGATACGAGACAGTATGTGGGGCATATTGCTGCTTCTCCTGCATAGCTCGGTCTTCTTTCATAGGAAAGGAGAAAGAACAGTGGGTGTCTAAGTGTGTAAGTATAGTTTCCTGCCCCCCCCCCAAAAAAAAAAAAGAAAAGATGAAGAAAGCTTCAAAGAGAAGGCCCGTCCTGAGCTGGGTGTGAAGGCTGAGGTTCTTGCTGCCAGGAAGAGACCAGCATGGGGCATGA